AGAAAGAGAAAGAAAGAAAGAAAGAAAGAAAGAAAGAAAGAAAGAAAGAAAGAAAGAAAGAAAGAAAGAAAGAAAGAAAGAAAGAAAGAAAGAACTTATCACGGGCTCAGTGGTGCATGCCTTAATTCCAGTGGTTGGATCGGGTGGCTAAGACGGTAGGATGGCAAGTTCAAAGCTAGCCTTAGCAATGCCAAGGTACTAAGCAACTCAGTGTGACCCTATCGCTAAATAAAATATAAAACAGTGCTGGAGATGTGGCTCAGTGGTCAAATGCCCCTGAGTTCAATCCCCGGTACCAAAAAAAAAGGTACTTCTATTCCTGGATTTCCCCATACCAGACAGCTTAGTTACTACTCCTCCCTTAATGGACAGAAACCTGAATATTTGTCCCATGAAAAGGGTAGAGGCTCTATCCTTTAGAAACCTGGCACTTAAAACTCTATAAGTTTTATGTAAGTATTTACAAGCTGAAAGCAGAGAAACCAGGACCACTTCTCAAGTCTGAAAGCTAGGTCTATACCCTCTATGCCAGAGAATGAAGACAATTTTCTGGGGATTCAGATCAGCTCCACAGAAAAACTCTAACAACTATACCAGGAGTGGCCCAGAGCAACGTTTAGTCAAGGGTTGACAAACCCACAGTTAAGTCAAGGGTTGACAAACCCATTCACAGACATAGGAACTTTCAAATAAGGCTTTACATGCCCACTCTTAAAGAAGAAGGGACAACCAAAGATCACCAGACAACCAAGGAGGGGCTCTGACATGAAAAAACTAGGCCCAAAACAAACAGAAAAGAATAACTTAGAAGAGATTAAAAACTTAGCAGGGACAAAAAAATATATAAAGGACCTTACCAACAGTCTACTCAATAAGAAGACAAAGTATAATACACACTTTAAATACCAACATGATGGCATGAATGAGAACATAAAGAGAACCAAGAGAGGAAAAAGCCTTGAAATTTAAAACTAACAGAATATTGAAAAATTAGGAATTAGGATGGCTTCATTCTTCTCTTTTTTTTTTAAAGAGAGAGAGAGAGAGAGAGAGAGAGAGGAGAGAGAGAGAGAATTTTAATATTTTTTTAGTTATCGGCAGACACAACATCTTTGTTTGTATGTGGTGCTGAGGATCGAACCCGGGCCACACGCATGTCAGGCGAGCGCGCTACCACTTGAGCCATATCCCCAGCCCAATTCAACAGCAATTCTGAAATTATGCTGAAGGAAAATCATCTCTAACTCAGAATTCTATCCCCATACAAAACATAACTGTGAGGTTGGGGGGAAAAAAAAAATCAAGACATGAAAGATGTATTTCCCACATATTCTTTCTCAAAAGCCACTAAAATCTATACCTTACAAAAGATACAGTAAACATGGAAAGACAAGAAACACACAAAACAAGACATATAACACAAGAAAGAGGGAAGGGAAGCCATCTGGAACTACATAAAGAGGACAACTTATAGGTAGAGAAGGTGAGAAGGCACTAAAAGAAATTTCTCTCAGAATATGAAACAAATAACTGATATACCTGATGTCATAATATGAAAATGAACAATTAGAAATTTGGGGAGGAATTAATAATAAAAATATAGATAAAAATGAAAAACTTTTTAAATTTTGTATGGGGTTAACAGGATCTGGGACAGATCACAGTGAAACTTTAGAATAAAGGAAACGTTCTCCATCTTAATACAGGTACAGATTAAGTGGCTGTATGCATTTGTCAAAACTCAACTTGATTTCACTGCATTAAAATTTATATTTTTATTTCTTAAAAAGGACTAGTAAGAACTATAATGAAAAAAAGGTTGTGTAGAAAAATACATTCTAGCATATTCCACAGCTCAAATATAAATACCATTTACAGAATATACAAAATTATAATATACTATAACCATAAGAAAAAGCTGGAAAGTGTGTGTATGGTTGTGGTGGGAGTAGACTGGAGGTGGTGAAAGGAAACAGAATCCTCAGGTTCCACAGCAGAAAAGAGAATTTATAGCACAAAATCAAAAAAAAAAAGAAAGAAAATCAAGAAATAATAATAAAGCATGATATTAGAAGACAAGGAGGTAAATATGAAGAATATCAGTTACAAGTTCAAAATAGTTGCCTCTAAATAATGAGAAAACAAGGGTGTGAAGGAAGGCATATTGTTTTTCATAATAAACCTTATAGAACTATTTTTTGGTATGTATGACATTGTTAAAACATTACTTTAAAATAATGGAAATAGACTAAAGCCTCTAATTATGAGAAAAAGAGTGATTAAATAGATAAAAAGACACAACTACAAGTTGCTTATAAGAAATTCACTTTACCTCTAAAGACATACACAGACACAAAGTGAACAGATGAAGTAAGATATTCCACACAAACAGAATCCAAAAGAAAGAAGAAATAACCACACTTTTATCAAATAAAAGAGACTAAATCAAAAGCAATAAAGAGAAACAAGGAAGGTCATTATATAATCATTAAGGGGTCAATTCAAAAAAAGAAAATAACAATTATAATTACATATGCACTCAAAAGAAGAGAATCTAACTACATAAAGCAAATTGTGGGATGGGGGGAATACCAAGGATTGAACCTAGGGACGATTAACTGCTGAGCCACATCCCCAGCCCTTTTTTATTATTTTATTAGAGACAGGGTCTCACTGAAATGCCTAGGGCCTCAATATATTGCTGAGGCTGAATTTAGGTTCATAATCCTCCTACCTCAGTCTCCCGAGTCGCTAGAATTACAGGTATATGCCACTGCACCCAGCTAGAGCAAATATTAACAGACCTGATGAGAGATAAACACTGATACAATAGTGGGGGGCGGGGTGCTGAGAAGGTAGCTCAGTGGTGAGGCATGTGCCTAGAAGGCACAAGACACTGGGGTCAAACCACAGTTCACCAAATAAAAAAGAACAGAATATTGACAATAGTAATAGGAGAATTTAACATCCCACTTTCAGCAATAGACAGAATAATAAATAAACAGAGTTAAACTGCATCCCAGAGCAAATGGACCCAACAGACATTGACAGAACATTTCATTCAACTACAAAATAATATACATTCTTCTTAACAACGCATGGAACATTCTCCAGAATAGATCATTTAATAGACCTACAAGAGTTTCAACAAATTTTTAAGAGTGAAATCATATTGAGTTTTTTTCCAAACACAGCACAACAAAACTAGAAATCAACAACAAGAAGTCTATACAAAATGTGAAAATTCAACAATTTACTCTTGAACAACATATGGATCAAGGAAGAAATTAAGCAAATTTTAAAATTCTTGAAACAAATGAAAATGGAAATACACTATATCAAAATTTATAGGATAGAACAAATGCATTATTAGAAATATTTATGACAATAAAAATATCAAAAAAGAAGAAAGAATTCAAATAAACTACCTATCACTGTACCTCCAGGAACCAAATGCAAAATGAATAGAAAGAATGAAATAATAGGGATAAGAGCAAAAATAAATTAAACATGAGACAGACTTATCAAGACTTCTAAGAAAAAGAGAACATTCAAATAAAGTCAGAGATGAAAAAGGAGACATTACAACTGATACCATAGAAATACAAAAGATCTTGACAGATTATCATGAACAACTATATGTTCACAAATTTGATGACACATTCACCCAAGATTGAGTCATGATGAAATAATACATCTAAACAGACCAGTAACATGTAACAAGACTGAATCAGTAATAACATCTCCCAACAAAGAAAAACCAAAAACAGATGACTTGCTTCAGTACTGAATTCTACCAACATCAGCAATTCTTCTTAAATTATTAAACTACTCTAAAAAATTAAAGAGGAGAAATTCATCTTAACTCATTCTATGAGGAAAACACCCTGATATAAAAACTAGACAAGGACAACAAAAGACGAGAAAGCTACAAGCCAATATCTTTGCTGAACATATGTACAAAAAATCCTCAGCAAAATACCCATAAATTAAATCCAACAGCAATAAAATGATAATCAATTGGAATTCATCTTAGGGATGCAAGGATGGTTCAAAATACACAATTCTGACGTACCACATCAACAAATGAAGAACAAAAACTGTATGATTATTGTAACAGTTGCAGAAAAAAGCATTTGTTAAGATTCAACATATTCATGATGAAAACTCCGAACATATCAGGTATAGAAGAAACATACCTCAACATAACAAAGGCTGTATACCATAAGTCAACAGTTTACATTATATTGAATGGAGAAAAGCTGAAAGATTTCTAAGATTTGGAACAAGATAAAGATGCTCACTTCTGCCTCTTTTTTTTTTTCCCCCTACGTGCTGGTGACTGAATTCAGGCACTTGCACATACTAGGCAAATGAATGAAATTTCAGTCCTTTCCTTACTTTTATTCTACTTTGTACTTTAAGTTATAGCCAAAGCAATCAAACAAGAGAAAGATGTGAAGGGCCTCCAAATTGGAAAAGAGGAAACCAAACTGTAGCTCTTTGCACAAGACATAATCTTTTATATAGAAAACTCCAAAGACTCCACCAAAAAACTATTAGAACTTGTAAATATATTCAGTAAAGTTAGAGGGTACAAAATGAACATGCAAACATCAATGATGGCACTGTTATACATCAATAGTAAATTATCTGATATAGAAATCATGAAAGTAATTCTATTTATAATAGCTACAAAAATAAATAGGCAGGGCACAGTGGCACATGACTGTAATCAATCCCAACAACTCAGGAGGCTAAGGCAGGAAAATCACAAGTTCAAAGCCAGTCTCAGCAAGTTAGGGAGGATCTGAGCAACTTAGCGAGACCCTGTCTCAACATAAAACATAAAAAGGGCTGAGGATTAAATGCCCCTAGGTTCAATCCCCAGTTACTAACTAATTGAATAAATAAATAAAATAGATTTAGGGTTAGGTTTAGGATTAGGGTTAGTGTTACGGTTAGAATAAATTTAACCAAAGAAGTTAAATTTGATGACAGAAATTGAAGAGGATACAAAAGTACAGAAAGACATTTTATATTCATAGATGGGACGAATCAACACTCTTAAAATATCCATACTACATGTAAGATTTGATATGAAATGTCCAGAACCACCTCATGTGTTGAAGGCTTAGTCCTGATGCAATGATGTTCAGAGGCTGAAGCTTTTGCGAAATGACTGGGTCATGAGGGCTCTGACCTCATCATTGAATTAATAATTTGATGGAATTACTGGGAGATGGGACATAGCTGAAGAAATGGGTCCTTGGAGGCATACCTTTGTCCCTATCCCCTTCCTCTCTCTACAGCTTTCCTCCACCACCATTTCTACTTTGCCTTAGTAGAAATGGAGTCAGACAACCATACACTAAAACCTCTCAAACTATAAATTAAAATAAATATTTTCTCCTTTCTTTTTCTCAGGTATTTTGGTCACTGTACAAACTAACACACACAACACCCAAAGCAATCTACAAATGCAAGTCCTATCAAAATACCAAAAGACATACCACATGATTTCATGTGAGAATAGAATGATGGTTACCAGAGGATGGGAGAGTAACGGGGAGAAAGGAGTGAGGAAAGGCTGATCAATGGTTATTAAATTACAGACAGAAGTAGTTCTAATATGCTATTACACCATAGCATGACTACAGAAAAAAATAACATAACTGGATATTTCAATAAGCTAGAGAAAAGGATTTTGGAATGTTTCCTTTACAAAGAAATGATAACTGTTTAGGAGACAGGTGTTTACATTCTTTTTTGGTGGTACTGGGGAATCAAACCCAGGGCTTTACACATATTCCCAGCCCTGCTTACCCTAATTTAAACATTATAAAATGCATACATTAATAAAAATTTTACATGGTATCCAACTAAAATGTGTGATTTTTATGATTTTAGTATTAGTTAAAAAAACAATTTAAATAAAAGAAAAAAACAAGTTAGATTTACTGATCAAATAAAGAATATATATGAAAGCATGCCCTAAAATATTTTTGCAAGAATATTAATAATTAAATGAAGACAAAATTAAGTATAACAAATGTAAATGTGCTTGACAGAATATAAAGGAAATCTGACTCTATCTTTTAAAAAATTTTGAAATTTCAACATCAAAAAATTATTTGTGACTTATTACAAATCTGAAAAATTATTGTTTTGCTGTAATTGATATCTATCCAATAAAGCTAAGATGTCACAAGAGTTTTGGAAAAGAAAGTAATACTTTTAAATTATAGCTCTCGTCTTCTAACTCTAGCATACTTAAAATCAAACAAAAATACTTAAAATCAAACAAAACAGCCCTTATAACACGGTGAGGATGATTCAAATTGCCACATCAACTACAACCTCTGGCACTGAACATAATACTGGTACCAGGATGTAACCAATAACAAAACAAAAGTACAATAACTATGCTAGAATGAAAACAGCCCATTTAAAATATGGCTTGAGCTCCACTCCTTTGGGTTCACTCCACAGGCTCAGAAGGTTGACAAGGAACAGGGCTTGCGGGGAGGTGGGTAAAAAATATATATGTGTCTTGTAAAAAATAAGTAAAACATGGCTTGCGTGAATGGAAAAACTATAGCATCACCTATGAAGAGTTACAAACAAATAACCTCTAATTCATCTACATTACAAATTGTGAAATAGTCAACTTTTACAGAAGGGTACAAGTTTAGATTAAATGTTTTAAAAAGGGATTAAAGAAACTATTTGTAAAATTTACTAAAAGATATTTAAAAGATGTCATATAATCACATTTACATGGAGAAAATTCATTAACATTTCCCAAAACAATTATCACTTAAAAAAAACTATATGTAAGTTTTGTCAGTCATAAAATACAAAAGAAAATGTCAATTTTTTTTTTAAAGTGCACACTGAAGAATGCCTGGTGCCTGCTTTAAAATACCTTAGAGAAACAAGAAAAGGGGAATAGATAAAACACATGTAGCAAAATCTTTAATTATCTAACAAGGAAAAATCTTAATAACTGTTGAATATAAGATTCATTATAACTATGCTATTTTTTGTGTATGCTTCAAAATAATTTTTAAAATGCTCACATCCACATCTGGTCTTTTTAGCAAATCTTCCACTTTAGCAACATCTCCATTGGCAGCAGCCTTAACTAATTCTTCATTGAGGTCACCAGATTCTTGAGTTTCAAATAATTTCTTCAGGAGTTGTGAGAGTCTTTCTGCAAAGCATCAAATAAAGCTGCTAACATAGGAGGATCTCAAACCTTAACTACTAAAAGATAACTATTATCCATATTCCTATAATCTTTTCCTATTTTTTATTTCTATCATTAATGTTATTTTTTGTATTGAGCTATAGACAACTACCCACGCAAGTTATATAATTACTAATATATGAAGCTACATTAAATTCATGCCCATAAGCATTCTAAGTTTTCTACAATTCATATGTTTCAAGTTATAATTGTAGAAAAATAGTTACATACTAACAATAATTCAAGATTTAGAAGTCATACTGAAGATACTATGAATGAACACTAGGATGGGAATATGATAATGATACAAACTTCTTTTTAGATTTTAAGTAAACCACAGTGCCTCTCGAAGCTCAATATTACAGACCTTAGAATTAATCAAAATATTAATGATTATGGTACAAAAGTAATGTGATCTCTCTGTAGTATCCTGTGATATGCTTTAGGGGCAAAGCAATTTTCAGCTGAAAAAGGACATCTAAATGCTAACAACACACTTCATTAACTGTCAATTTTTTGACGAAAAATAAGAACTCAGGGATAAATGTACAACTTTTTCATACGACTTTTTTTCTCAATATAATAAATTAATAAAGGAAATACCAACAAGTTCTACTCCTTAACTCTTGAAGTAGCTACTGGAAATCAGAGGAATCACAAACTGGAGCTACCCTTCACTCTTTTACTTTGCACATGGTCAGCATGAGATGCCACCCAACCTCAAGGTAAAAACAAACATTATTTGATTTAAACTTTAAGTACACTAGCAAATTACAACAGGAAATAAAACAAAAGAAGAGAAAGGAGAAAACAGCACAAAAATAAAAGTGGAGGTCCCCTAACATTTTCATTTTATATTTCTCCATTTACAATTATGACTTTATCTTTTTACCTAAATGACAACAATGTACATGTAACATGTTGTAAAATGAACTGAGTTTGTGTACATAAAGCTAGAATACAGGAAGAAAAGACTTTGGAAACAAGTCTCTCCAAGTATCCAGCAAGTTCACATTTTAACATGGTTTTCTACTTATTATGGCATGTATTAATAACTCTTATTAAGTGATAGAGAGAAAAATATGCTAATATTTTAAAATATCCAAGAAGAAAGCCAGTTGCTAGCAATAATGTAAAGAAAAAAAAATAAAGCAGTTTAAGAAGTGATAGTTCTTTGACAGAAAAGTTCTGACTACAGTGTAGAATATTGAATTTCAGGTTAAGAAGCCCCTGATAAACTCAAGAAAAAGCACATTATTTATGGAACTTTTCCAGAGAGTACTTCAGCCAGAATAAAGTTTGTTTATACAAAAGAGAAAAAGAAAAACCTTTAGTGAAACTCTAAAAGATGGTCAGAATTCAACTGAGCCTATGTAATCTGGGAGAAAGCCAAGCACACATACATCATCATCTATATATGAGAACTGAGGAAATTAGCAAAGGTTCTAATGTAAACCATATTACTTTGTTTTACCATATTTTGTACTGGTACATATTATATAATATTATTAGTTGTCCATGCATACAATATTATTAGTCATACATGATGGTAAGATTCATTATTACATATTTATACATGCACATAATATAATATAATCTGGCCAATATCATTCCCAGTATTTCCCTTTCCCTTCCCTCCACCCGGTCCCTTTCCTTTACTCTACTAATCTCCCTTCAATTTTCATGAGATCCCCCACCTTTCTTTTCATTTTCCTCCATGGCTTACAAATCCAAAGAAGAATGAAATTGTACTATTTGCAGGAAAATGGATGGATAGAACATTATGTTAAACAAAATAAGCCACTCAGAAAGTAAATCATACTTTTAAAGAAACAGTGCAAAACGTACCACCAGATGCATTGCTAATGGCTGATCCTGCGGATGCTACCTTGGAAACTGCTGCTGGATTATAAGTCCAAGATGTTCCACAAACTTCCACTTTTAAATCACTGTCTGAATAAATCTGTTGTACTCGGCCAACTTTACCTAAAGTCTTTTCAAAAAACAGATAAGATTCATGTTTCCAAATACATATCATAAAATAAATCAGTGTGCGTGCACGCGAGCGCGCGCACACACACACACACACACACACGTCCAGTACTGAGAATTGAACCCAAGGCTTCATCATGCATACTAGGAAAGCATTCTACCACTGAATTACATCCCCAACCCCTTCTATTTTGTTTTGAGAATAGGTCTCACTAAGTTGTCCAGGCTGGCCTAAAATTTGTGATCTTCCACCTCAGCTTTCCAAGAACTTGTGATCATAAGCATATGCCAACACATACAGTTAGTTCTTACATTTTAAAGTATTGACTTTACCTGCCAGGAGTGGTGGCACACACCTATAAACCCAGCAATTTGGGAGGTTATGGCAAGAGAATTACAAATTTGAGGTTAGCCTGGGAAGCTTAATGAAGCCCTGTCTCAAAACAGAAATAAAAAGACTGGGGATATAGCTGAGTGGTAAAGTGTGCCCCTGGTTTCTATCCCCAGTACCACACACACAAAAAAAAGTATTAATTTTACTTGTTCCTAATTTCAAATATTTTAAAGGATATCCATTTTCAAATGGGTTATGTATTAGTTACAAACCTGAAAAAATATCTTTAAAAGATATTTTAAAAAGTATTACTTAATACATTAATACATCCTATATAAAAATATTTTAGTAAATACCATTACACTTCCACAAGTATATAAAAGGTCATGATAAAGTCTAACTTGTTCATAAAAACTTGTTTTTATATTTAACTCTTTTTTAACCCTATATCTTGAGAACTTGCAAATCAGGTAGTCCAAAATCATGATCAATATAGCTTAGAAGAGGAAATAGGATTTCTTAAAAACAAAAAAACCACGACTTAATCCCCCAAAACTCATAGAAGTAAAATAGTTTACATCTATGTTTTTCTTTTTGTCTGTTCATGTTTTGGTTCTGAGGATTGAAGCCACGGGTGCTTTATCACTGAGCCACATGCCCAACCCTTGTTAATTTTTGAGATGGTCTCACTTGCAGAGGCTGGACTTTAACTTGTGAACCTCCTGTCTCAGCGTCCCTCGTCAATGGGATTACCAATGTGAGTCAACTCACCAGGAAGTAAACTTGCTATTTTCTATATTCATGTTTTGGAATCAGATGATTCAAACATAGATGTAACCCAGGCATAGTAGCACACAGCCTCTAATCCCAGAGGCTATGGAGGCTGAGGCAGGAGGATCCTATGTTCAAGGCCAGACTCAGCAACTTAGCAAGGCCCTAAGCAACTTAGTGAGACCCTGTTTCAAAATAAAAAATAAAAAGAACTGGGGTATGGGTCAGTAGTAAAGCAGACCCTGGGTTCAATGCCAAGTACCACAGGAAAAAAAGAAAAAGAAACAGGATTATTTGATTTATGAGGTTTCTTATGATCCTGTGTTTGGTCAATGAGAATCCATTCAAGTTAACTGCTGGTCTTCTTATTTTTTTGGGGGGGGAGGGGGACTGGGGATTAAACCCAAGAGTACTTAACCACTGAGCATTATATTCCCAGCCCTTAGTTTCTATTTTGAAGTAGGTCTCACTAAGTTGCTTAGGGCCTCACTAAATTGCTGAGGGTGGCCTTGAATTTACAATCCTCGGGCTTCAGCCTCCAGAGTTCCTGGAATTATAGGCACGCGCCACTACATACAACTACTGCTGGTCCTTTTAATATAACCTTAGAAATCTTTGATGGCAGTCTGGGGATATAGCTCAGTTGGTAGAGTGCTTACCTTGCATGTACAAGGCCCTGGGTTCGATCCTCAGCACCAAAAAAAACAGAAGAAATCTTTGATGGCTTCCTTGCTATCTAATATAAGGCTCATCTTCAATTCCTTCCGATGGGCTACCACTAACCATTTCTTCAAAGAGATTCTTAACTAAAGCACAAGGATATTTGAAAACCACAACATGGGCACTGAGGTTGGTTATTACTACTAGAATGCTCACTGTTTTCTAGGTCTTTTCATTGACAGAACTGAGCAAAAAGGTTTTGTTTTTTTCCTTCTTTGTTCTGTTATATTTTGAAAGACAAATCATGAGATTAAACATTCTTCCAAATTGAATCAAAGAGACAGAATTTTTATTTTATCTCTTCTATATCATATACGTATTGCCCTTCTCCACTTTGATAATTCACTGGGGATAAAAAAATTATGATGTAAGTATTCATTTGATTTTTTTGTCACATACAACAATCTCAGAATAAAAGCATCAAAACTACTATACAGAAGAAGAGTTCTGAAAAATATGTATTTCTTTTTCATCCAGTTTGTGTATATTCCTTCTGTAAGGATATAAACACAAATTACTGTGTTTTAAAATCACATGGAATGGGGGCTAGGGTTGTAGCTCAGGAGTAGAATGCTCGCTTAGCACATGTGAGGTCCTGGGTTCGATCCTCAGCACCACATAAGAGTAAATAAATAAAATAAAGGTATTATGTAAAACTACAACTAAAAAATAAATATTTTTTAAAAATCACATGGAGGGGCTGGGAGTTTATAGTTCAGTGGTAAAGCACTTGCCTGATATGTTTACGCCCTGGGTTCCATCTGCACCACACACACACACACACACACACACACACACACACACACACACACAAAATCACTTAGAATTTTCCCTTCTCCATGGTTATGCCAACCGAGGAAATATATTTAGATTCATGTATTTTCTACATGTAGGAAGGAGTCTTCTTTTTAAATTCAATTTTGTTTTACTATTATATAAAATGTAAATACTTTTAAATCAAATACATAAAATAAGACATATTCAAAGATGTATCCCTTCTAACCTTGGTGCCCCATATCCTAGCCTCTTTTAATATAGGTAATTTTGGGGGTAGAGGTGGGGGTATTGGGACACTTAACCACTGA